TTTGACAGAGTGAGTGAGTGAGTTGTAGCACATGGTAAGTAGACACTTTTGACCGTTTTTCTTCTTCTTCTTCTTCTGTCTTTGCCTTCTATATTGAGAGACTGCTAAGCAAATCACTTCAGACAGACAGGCAGAGTAGAGTGACACTGCTTCAGACAGAAGTTGAGAGAGGGAGAAACACATGTTCTGAGAGAGAGAGAGTCAGTGAAGAAGAAGAGTTGGGTTGAGCAAACGAGAACAGATGGACGGACGGACGGACGGGTGGCCAATCTTGATGAGGATGAGGTGATAAGGGTGGTGATGGTGGTGATCATCAGCAGTGGTGTTCACTTGCTGCCTTCATGATCATCGCCAGTTGATGGTAATGGAGATGATGATGGTGATGGTGATGATGGTGATGGTAGTGGTCATCAGACACTAGCTAAATAAAGCAGCACAAAGTGGCAACTCGCTTTTAGCTTGTTCGTTTGTTTGTTTGTGTGAGCAACAACAGCAACAAACGAAAATGTCACCTCCCCTTTTAGAACTTGGAATTTTGGGTGCACACACTTTTTTTGTGCTTACTCGGACCAAGAAAGCAAACTTTGCTGAGTGCGGCGAAAATTGCCTACTACCCAACTGAAAGGCATCCTGATAAGAAGAGGCATCATCCTTCTTCTCTTGCCTAGCTGACAAACAGAGAGGACAACAACAAGGGATGCTAAACACAGCCATTTTCTGGTGACTCAACTCTGTTTTAGCTCAATTGTGAAATAGATGCTGACGAGGCAGTCAGTCAGCTTGAATCTCGGTCTTGATCTTGCCATTTCTCTCTTGCTCTCTCTCTCTCTCCTTTTCAATTAGCGTCTTTCATTCGAAAGATGAAGTAAAGATGCTTTTTCGAATGTAAGCAGTACTCAGTTTGAGCACTTCAGCACTGCTAGACCTGATCTCAGTCAGCAGCAGCAGCAGCTGATTCTCCTCTTCTCCCCTTTCCTCGATCCTCATTCTAATTAGCACCGGTGGTCAGACAGACAGACAGACAGACGGACGGACGGGGTAAGAGAGGCTGACTGAGAGGTCAAAGTCATGACTGTTGTCGTTCTTCACCTGCGCTCTTCATCTCTTCTTTTTGCCGCTGCAGCCGCATCACCAAACAGCTAAAGTTCTTTTCGAGTTCTTCAGTTCTCTTCTCTGTTAGTGTGTTCAGGCAGCTGCTGACATAGTAGATCCGGTCAGTCGAAGCTGAGGCTTGGCCAAGCTCGCCAGTTGTGGTCAATATCTATTGACGAAAGAACGACCAAACTGGCCAGCCAAACAGAATATCTCTTTTGTTCTTCGGTTCCATCTTTTCTTGCACCTCTCTCTTCTTCCGTTTTAGCTTCACAGTTCGACTAAACCACAAGTGCAGTGTAGCTACAGTGTAGCGATCGCTCGGCGACAGGAGCGGCGCTCAGGCAGCTCAGGCCGGCACAGTCGTCGCAGAGTTCTCCCTCTTATTTCTTCTCCTTCTTCTTCTTCTTCTTCTTCTGTAGGCGAAAAATGCGCGGGAAAGCACTGCAGTAGTAGTAGTAGTGCTGGTAGTGGTGGTGGTGGTGGTGACACACGCTGCCAAGAGAGGGGAAAAGGGAAGAAAGAATATAAAAGACTGAGGGGATGGTGGCCTGCTGCTGCTGCTGCAGTGGTGCGCGGCGCCATGTGGTCCATCTTTCGACGACACATTTTTAGGTTTAGGGATAAGAGGCAGGCAGGGAGGCAGGCATTGCCATGTGTCACATGTGCTTCTGGTTAGCTGGTCAAAGATCAGAAGGTGGTGGTTGGGAGGAGAAGGCATTATCGGCGGGCAATAAAATAAAACAAATGTGACGAAGGAGACAGGGACAGGAGAAGATTGCCCCGCCAGTGGTTGGCAGCGACAGCAGCAGCAGTAGCAGCAGTGGTTGTTGTTTGTTGGCGATGTGCTCTTCTTGTTCTCCCTCTCTTTCTTGCACCACCACCACCACCACCACCACCACTGCAGCAGCCAAGACTTCTTACACCAGCGACGACAGTAAGACGACAGAGAGAGAGAGAGAGAGCGAGAGAGAGAGAGTCAGAGTCAGACAATGATGATGATGATAGCCTGCAAAGAGGGAGAGAGGCTCTAGCTACTACTGCTGATGCTGCTGCTGCTGCTGCTGCTGCTAAGTAAGCGAATGCTACTGACTGAGGCAGATGAGAGAGAGAGAGAGAGAGAGAGAGAGAGAGAGCGAGTGTAAGAAGAAGGACTGTCTCACGGCGACAGACACACAGACTTTTTCTTTTTCTTTTCTTTGCCTTCCCCTTCTTTCCATTCCTTCCCCCGCTCATTTTTTCCCTCTGCATCAGCAGCAGCAGCAGCAGCAGCAGCACATGCTGCGCCGAAATGGCGGCACTGGCTAGCTAAGTAGGCTCGTCTGCGCACGCGCCAGCCAGCCAGCAACGGCAGCAGCAGCAGCAGCAGCAGTAGCCGCCGCCGCCGCAGCCAGACAAAAGAGACGTTGCTGCTGCTCGGCGATTCTCTCTCTCTTTCTCTCTCTCTCTCTCTCTCTCTCTCTCTCCTTGTTGTTTCAAATCCGAGGCATGACATCGCGGACCACAAAGCTCACAAAGCGATTGTCGTCTCTCTCTCTCTCACCAGTTCTCGCCTTCCTTTCTTCCCTTCTGAACCTATCCTAACCAGTGGTAGATCTGCTGCTGTCGCTTGCAAAGTCCCTGCTAACCAACAAACACACAGACGGCAAGTGAGAAAGAGAAACCAACACCGCCGTCGTCGCCTTCGTCGTCGCAGCCAACACACCGACAACATCACAGTACCGACACACCAACACACTAACTAACGCCGCCGCGATCACCACGATCACCTAGTGCTCCTCTTCATTACCATCACCATCATCAGCAGCAGTAGCATCATCATCAACCGGCGGCTCCTCTCTTCATCATATTCAGGTGAGCACTTTTAGGTGTCAGTGCAGTTCTACTTCTTCTCCTCCTGCCTCTTTGACCTCCACGCCGGCGTGTTCAATGCCGGTGTGTGTGTATGTCTCAGCAGCACCACCACCACCACCTACACCACCACTACTACCACACCTGTGCCGAATAACAACGCGTGTCTGTGTGGTGTCTGTCTGATCACCACCACCAACACCAACACCGAGATTTGGTAGTAGTCGGCGATGATCAGCCAGTAGTAGTCCACACATCGCCGTGATTCACCGCCATCTTTGCCCATGTGATTGCTGCTGCTGCGGCCTGCCTGTGTATGTCGTCATCTTCGGAGCGTGTTATCATGCTGCTGCTGCAGCCGTTGACGCAGTGTGTCGATCGCCATTGCCATCGCCATTTCTGCTGCTGACCAACGAGCTAGCAGAATCAGCATCGTCGGCTTTTTGTGCTTGGCCTTGTGAGCTGCTGGTCCATCCTGGATTATCGGCTTTTTGAAAGGGGCTTCTTTGACTCAAGCTCTGCTTTCTTGGGCAGTCTTGGTCATCTTTATCTTCATCATCAGCTTCAACCGTCCCAATACTTCTCCACGTCAGCCTCTATAGCTCAGTGCCATTTTAAATAGAGCAGGACAACAATCAACTTGACAGTTCTAAAATCTCAGAGTTCCGAAACCTTGATTGTTGTTGATTAGTCTAGTAGAAGTTCTATTTTTTATACGATCAGTATTTTCTTCTCTCTTGACTGCTGCTTTTACCGGTGCGTGCTACTCTACCCCGAGCACCGTGGAAAGAGCAACTTGCGCTCACTTGTTCTCTTGTTCATTTGTTATCTTTTTTAGTTTTCTAGCCACTAGTGTCGCACTACTGTCTCTTTCTCACAGTTTGTCTCTTTCCTTCTCTTCCTCTGTCTGTGCTGTGTGTGTGTCTTACCTTACCTTAGCTCTCATTATCTTAGCTCTTCTTCCTTTGGAGCAACCACACACTCACACACTACCTCTAGCTCGAGCTGTGTTTTTAACGCCGCTGCTGCTGCTGCTTCTATCTAAATTTAGACCATTTGCATTTTATGTGCAGTCTGTGTCTGCTGCTCACGCACTTTTTACTTCTGACTCGCAAACAGCAGCAGCAGCACCAGCAGTAAAATCAGCAACAGAAGCCGCTAACTTTTTGCCTGCTCTCAATCTCACCCGGTCACTAATGTTGTATTGATTTTTCTTCTCTTTTTCCCTTTTCTCTTCCCGGTTCTTTCGTCTCTGCCGTTCCGTGTCTTCGTTCTGCTGGTGTGATTTGCCAACCTTGTACCAAGCAGACGCCGAAAGCTGCCCTCCTAGCGAACTCTTGCATCAGAGGGCCATCTTCTTACCACCACCACCCTTTCCCATCATCACCATCAACTTAGACTGAAGTCTCCATCACCCTTTTCACCCTATGAACTGTGTAGCTGCAATCCGTCACCACCCTCGCCTTTGTCGTTTAGTTGTAGCTGCCAACTGCTTACCTTCTCCTCTTTGACTGTCACCATAGCTTCAGGGAACTTCGGTCACCACCACCACCTTCACCTCTCTTCGGAACCAGCTCCACCACTGTCCACCACCCACCAGCAAGCTGGCAAAGGAACTGAAGCACCTCTCCTCCTCTTCTTCCTCTTCGGCTCCAGACTCGCGATTCGGCTCCACCATTAGTAATCCCTTCGCCAACGCCGCAGCAGCCGCCGCCGCCGCAGCCGCCGCCTCTGGGTCACCGATCTCGCCCAGCCTCTTTGCCTCGCTCACCTCCTCCTCCAGCCTGCCGACGGCTGCTCTTCTCAGCCAGATTCAGCAGCAGTTTGCCGCGGCTAATCTGCAGCAACAGCAGCAGCAGAATCCAAACAACAACGGCGCCGCCATCGCCGCTTCCGCCCTTCCCAGCTCGTACCTAGCCAACAGTCCCTTTCTGCTGCAGCAGGCGTCGCAGCAGCAGCAGCAGCCGTCATCACTGCAGCAGCAGCATCACCTGAACAATAACAGCAACAACAGCAACCACAATAACCACAACAGCAGCAGCAACAGCCAGGACATCATGGACAAGAAGAAGCCCATCAAGCGCTCGAGAATAGAATCTCTGAGTAAGTGCTTTTGCTTTGTTTTTGTTTTGAGCTTTGTAAAACTAATCGAACTTTTCGTTTTTCGAATTGCAGTCGGCACCTCCCGCGGCCCCATTCCCAATGGGCCGATGCACGCGCGGCCGCTGGTCGCCCTGCTCGACGGCCGAGACTGCTCCGTGGAGATGCCCATACTGAAGGACGTGGCGACGGTGGCCTTCTGCGACGCCCAGTCCACCGCGGAGATTCACGAGAAGGTGCTCAATGAGGCGGTGGGCGCGCTGATGTGGCACACCATCAACCTCACCAAGGAGGACCTGGAGAAGTTCAAGGCGCTGCGCATCATCGTCCGCATCGGCAGCGGCGTCGACAATGTCGACATTAAGGCCGCCGGGGAGTTGGGTAAGTGGTGTGATGTTGTGGTGGTGGTGGTGGAAGTTGTAAACAGATTGGCTAACTCTCTTGTTCTCTCTTGCAGGCATCGCCGTCTGCAACGTGCCCGGCTTTGGCGTGGAGGAGGTTGCGGACACCACCCTGTGCCTCATACTAAATCTCTACCGGCGCACCTACTGGCTGGCCAACATGGTCAAGGAGGGCAAGAAGTTCCAGGGGCCGGAGCAGGTGCGCGAGGCGGCCGCCGGCTGTGCGCGCATTCGCGGCGACACCCTGGGCATTGTCGGACTGGGTAAGTGCTGGTGGTGGTGGTGCAGTTTTCTGGTTTACTTTTATGTGGTAAGTTAACCAACCTCTTCTTCTTCTCTACTAGGTCGCGTGGGGACGGCCGTGGCGCTGAGAGCGAAGGCCTTCGGCTTCAACGTCATCTTCTACGACCCCTACCTGCCCGACGGCATCGACAAGTCCTTCGGCCTGACGCGCGTCTACACCCTGCAGGACCTACTCTTCCAGTCGGACTGCGTCTCACTGCACTGCGCCCTCAACGAGCACAACCACCACCTCATCAATGAGTTTACCATCAAGCAGATGCGACCGGGTAAGTTTGGGGGTTGTTTTTGTTGTTGCTCATTCACTGTTGGCTAAATCTAACTCTCCTTCTTTCAATGTAGGCGCCTTCCTCGTCAACACCGCTCGCGGCGGCCTCGTCGACGAGAACGCCCTCGCCTCGGCGCTGAAGGACGGCCGGATAAGGGCGGCGGCGTTGGACGTCCACGAGAGCGAGCCGTTTAGCGCCAACCACGGTAAGCGTTGTTGATTACCTGCTTATAGTATTTGCTGTTTTTTAACTTACAAACTAATCTCCTTACTTTAGGTGGCCCTCCGCCGCTCACCGACGCGCCCAATCTGATCTGCACGCCACACGCCGCCTGGTACAGCGACGCGAGCAGCACCGAGCTGCGCGAGATGGCCGCCACTGAGATTCGCAGGGCAATTGTGGGCCGCATTCCCGAGGGCCTGCGCAACTGCGTCAACAAGGAGTACTTTATGGGCGGACAGGGCGTGGGCAGCGGCGGAGTCGGCGGCGGCGGCCTCGGTCCCTACGGCGAGGGCCTCAATGGCGGCGGAGGAGGAGGAGGAGGCGGCGGCGGCGGCTCCTACCCCACCTACACCGGCCCCATTGTGCCCCACTCGACGACGGCGGACGGCTCGGGGCCGGGCGCCCTCGGCCTGGGGCCCAACTCGCTCTCGACCTCGCACTCTGGCTCGACGCCGCACTCGACCCTTCAGGAGGTGGCACAGGCAGCGGCGGCTGCCGCCGCCGCCGCCGCCGCCTCCAACCACCTCAACATCAAGGGAGAAAGCTCAGAGGTCCACTAAGAAGACAGGGGCGGGGCAGGTGCAGGGGCAGTGTGTGTCACCTTTAATTGCTTCACCTCCTCTTCGAAAGTGTGGTGGTGGGTAGACTAAGAAGATGAAGAATGGGAGGGGTAGGAGCGATGATGATGTTGGGAAGAAGAAGAATCTTAATCCGTTTCGTACTCCGTCTCACTCTTTTTCGTTTCTCATTCTATCTCTCGATTGCATCTCGAATCAAAAGCAGCCATCTCTCGCTATCACACTCACTCACCCACTCACTCACTCGCACTCTCTCTCTCTGACCAGACAACACATGATAACATGTCGATGATGATGATATAATCTTTTATTCTTATATTTGCTTCTCTCTCTCTCTCTCTCCTTCCTTCCACCTTCTCCTTTTCTTCTTCTTTCTGTTTGATGTGTAGCACGTACACCGACACACACCCACACCCACACCCCTCTTTCCTTTCTTTTATACTCTGGCAATCAAAACTTCCGCTTCCCTCTTTGTATCTTTTCTCTTTCTTATCGTTCGCTCGAATGATCGATTCAATGCCATACCACCACCCATACACCCACACACAGTCTTGCCTATTCGTCTGAAGAGCAACGGCTACACACCTCAGTTTCACAAGTAATAATACCTGGATACACACCACAACACCACACACTTGAAGAGGAATACTGTACTGATAACGATGATGATTCGCAGCCCCCCATCAGGAAGAAGCCCACTTTGCCCCCACTACCCAACACCCAAACACAAACCACCATTCTCGACGCCATCCTTTCTCTCACTCCAAAGTTTATCACACCTCCTTACCACCAGCCTTTATACTTCCTCCTCCTCCTCCTCCTACTTTTCGTTTTCATCTTTGGGACACAGAACACAAATACACAACCATTTCTTCTTTCATTTGGACTGAGACATACACAGACAGACATAAACACTGATAATACCTTCTTCTTCTTTTATTACCCCCTACTCTACACACCACCCTCTCTTCACTTGACCACTCTCTCTCTCTCTCTCTATTTTATTCTTATTACTTACTCGTAACCACTACCACCACAACCACCACCACCATCACATTTCACCCTATATGATTTCTCTTTCTCTTTACTGCGGCTAAAGTTTTAATTCAATTTGATTACTGCAAAAATGACATAAACATCTCATCCTTCCAATCATATCCCTCCTTTTTCAGTCTTTTTTACGGGCGAAAAAGGGAGGCAAAGTAGCCCTGCTCGCTTCGATTGAGCGCGGCAATGTTCGCCGCAAACTGGTCATTGTCGGCCATCGTCTCCTTCGTCAGCTCCTCAAAGAGCTGCAGGTGGCGGATGAAGGTCTCCTTGCAGATCGCTAGCGCCAGTTCCTTCTCCGCGTCGCCGTTGCGCAGGCCGTAGCAGAGGGCGTGATTCGCTCGGGAGAGCACCGAGATCATCGCAAAGATGTCCATCGAGAGGGTGGCCAGGCGGTTCAGCTCCACCTGCTTGGAGGTGAGCAGCGTCTAAAGAGAGAGAGAGAGAGAGAGAGAGAGAGAGAGAGAGGAAGGAAACGGGAGTTATATTGAAAAGAAATAGCTCCCAAAAATAGGCAACATCGGCGTACCTGTTCTCCGTAGACGCCAATGAGGAAGCTGTTGGCAAACTCCAGTCGATTGAGGCAGCTCTCGATCCACTCGCAGGCCGAGTGGAGGTTGTGGTGGGCGTACTTGGTCATCTTCCGCGTCAGGTAGTCGCTCCCTGCGGACAGCTTTCGGAACTTGAGGTAGTTCAGTACCGAGTAGATGGGCGCCTTCGGCAGGAAGCGGTGGCGCCGGCTGAGCAGGGAAGGGGAGGAGGAGGAGGAGGACTCTGCGCCGCCGCCGCCGCCGCCTCCGTCGCTGACGTAGTACTGCACCGAGCGCCGCCCGAGCAGCACTCGATTGTGGAGCGAGCTGTCGAGCAGCGCGTCGAGGGCGTACACCAGGTCGAGGGCGGTGCTGGCAAAGGGGTGGCGGCTGCCGAAGATGGCCCGCAGCGAGGAGCAGACCTCCTGGCCCGCTTCGGCGGCGGCCACCTTCACCGAGGCCGCCTCCAGCTCGAGGTTGGGCCCGGCGAGGCTGCCGGCGGAGCCGCCCTCCGGCTCGAAGCAGTCGTACATGGCGGCGCTCATGTAGAGCATCGACTCGAGGCGGTAGATGCGGTTCGTCGCCTGGTACAGCCTGAACTGCATCAGGTCGCTGCTCGCCAGCCCCAGCTTCTCATTCACCAGGTGGGCGTAGGTGTTGCGCAGCAGCTGCTTCAGCAGGCCCAGGACGACGGCGCCGGTCGCCAGCTGGCCGGCGCCTTTTACATTTAGGAAGGCCGAGGCGTCCCCGGAGGCGCTCGTCTTCACCACCTCCACCTGCTGCCGGGGCAGTTTGACGTCCCGCAGGCGAAGGCGCCGGTAGGAGAGGCCAAAGTAATCAGTATCGTCTTCTTCGCTCAGCTCGACTTCTTCTGCAGGAACTATCAGGGCGACGACGCCCACTTCAGGGTCGGACGAGGATGAGGATGAGGAGGAGGAGGAGGAGGAGGAGGAGGTGGAGATGAAGGGCCTCTCACCGTCGGCGAAGCTGCTCGTCCGAGCAAAGACCAGGTAGTGGCTGTAGTCGGCTTCGGGCGTTGAGGGCACCGGTATCCGACACTTCTCCCCGCTGATCACCCAGTGCTGGTGATCGTAGGTGAGCTTCGCCTCAGTGGCCCAGGAGTGGAAGTAGCTGGACTGGCCGCCGTCAGTGGGCTCAGAGAGGGCGAGGGCAATTCGGTGCGGCCTTTCAGAGGTCTGCGGTCCGAGGTAGAGCTCCTTCACCGTCGGATTCGACGATCGACTGAGGGCGTAGTAGACTAGGGAGTTTCGGGTGATGAGCGGGACAATGGTCTCGAGGGCATCGCGAGCGTCGCTAAAAGATCGAAAAGCGGTTTCGGGGATGTTGAAGCGGTTTGAGGAGCTGGATGAAGAGGAGGAGAACCCTTGAAAGGACTTGGCCATCTTCTTCTCCGCCCGCAGTTCGCCGTCCTCCCGTGTGCCAAAGGCAAATTGCTTCTGAATGCTGGCGCCGATCGCCTCGAAGATGAAGACCATCTCGCTGACGCTGAGGTTGTAGAGTGAGTTGTAGCCGAGCAGGTCGAGCGTCTCCTCGTTCTTCGTTATCTTGTTCCAGGTGCAGCGAATCATCTCGTACTGGTCGTTCATCTGCAGGAACTCTTCGCGTGTCCTCAGCAGAAAGGGAAAACTGAAAAAGGAAATGAAGTTAAAAAAATAAAACTTCATCCTTATCCTTCATTCTTACCTCAGCAGGTCCTCATCAAAGCCGCCCTTGAAGTAGCGCCCAAAGACGGAGCCAGGCTTCTCCATCTTCTCGATCCGGTTGCGAATGTTCAGCGACTGAATGGGCCTTGGCTCGATAAACTCGGAGAAAGGGGAGGAAGAGGCTGGATCAGAGTGGACATCGTCTCTCAAGTTGAGGTCGTCCTCTGGCGCCTGTTGTGGCCGCTGAAGTTTCTCCTTGTTGGCCGTCACTGAACTGCCCGAGCCGCCACCGCTGCTGCTGCTTAGTGTCCTCAAACAGCTGGTTCGTCCTAGGCTCACCCATGTTGTGGCCTTGATGGGCAGTCTTGCCGATCGGGCCCACATGATTCGGAGATGATGGGATGATCACCAAAAATAAAAAAGTTTGCGCTTTTCGAAAGCAGGAATTTGTAAACAAGTTTGTTTTTCCAGCGTGACTGCGCCGGTAACGTAGGTGGAAATAGCATTTAAAATAAGGAATAAAGGAGTTGTGGGCGTGTATCTCACAGTAAAAGAAGATGTCTCTTACTAACTCGAGGTCGCTGATCAAAATATTATCTTTTTTCTCATCTAAAAACACCCAAACTTCCTGTAAGATCTTTTTCAAAGTCAAAAATCATTTTTTAGGAATTGTTTCGGAAAACACAACAGAAAGGTTTATGGAACTTTTCCGCGTGGAAAACACACACAGCAAAACAACAACAACAGATCGTGCCCTTTGCATCGGTGCAGAAGACGAAGATGAACCGGTATCTTCATCTTCATCGCTGCTGTTCCTCTCTCCTCCCACTTTGCTCCAGTCGAGGAGGAGGAGGAGGATCAGGCAGAAGGTCAAGACTACTTCCATCATCATCATCATCATCAGCATCCCCCTCACCGAGGTTCTTTGCCGCTTCAGCGAACCGGGGCAAAGCCGAAGATGATCAGTTCTACCTCCAGTCGCTGCAAATACTGGAGCGATGCCGGTCGAAGAAGGTGAAAAAGCTGGAGTCCTTTGTGAAGCGGTCCTTCTTCGGCGAAATGGACGCTGATTACCTTCAGTAAGTCCTGATAAATTTGTTGACCTTTTTTTCTAACTTTCTAACTTTCTAACTTTCTTCTTTTCACTTCAGCTTTCCACATCTGGTGGAGTCCAAGGAGGAAGAGGCGCTGCTGTCGGCGCAGTACGCCTACATTCGCCGGCACTTCACCTCCATCTGCTCCGATCGGCAGGAGCTGATCAGTCGTGGCCTCTACGACACCGCCTCAATGACCACCTTTGAGCTGATGCACCTCTTTGAGGCGATCGGCGCCTCGCTGAACTACACCGTAATGCCTGGCCCGGAAAGCGAAGGAAGAAGCTCATCATCCTCTTCAAGCCAACAACAACAACAACAACTAGTCCCCATCGGCCGCCAGCTGCTCGTCACCGACGCCTTTCTCACCACCTACCGCCGACAGAAGACCTTCGTCCAGGCGGTGGTGCCGCTCATCATTCACAACGCCCTGGTGACGAGGGCGCTCACCACCACGGGAAACGCCGCCATTCGGGAGCGCTTTTTGGGGAAATCTACACCTTCCACACCTCCCACCACCTCTATCGCCTTTGCCTTCTGCGAGCTGAACGACCGCCTCGCCGCGCTGCCCTATCCCTTCTGGGACTCCACCGCCGTCTACAGTGCCGAAGATCAGAGCTGGACGCTCTCCGGTTCTAAAAGGCGAATACTGAAGAGCAGTGAAGATGGCGGCTATGAACAGTACCTCATCTTCTGTCGGACGGTGAGGCCGGGGGCCGAGGTCAGTGCCGGCAGCACCAGCACCAGCACCGCCGACAACGGCATCGCCACCTTTCTCGTCGACCGCTCCGACCTGCAGTCCATCGAGTCGGACGGCACCGACAACCTGGGCACCGCCTACGAGCGGATCACCTTCAGCGGGCTGCGACTGTCCCGCGAGGAGCACGAGCTGTACACTGCTGCTGAAGAAGAAGAAGAAGAAGAGGAGGAGGAGTCTTCGGTAACAGAAGACAATCGCCGGCAAACTCTGGCCACCAACTTTGCCCTCAACCTGAAGGCCACCGGGCAGCTGGCCACGGCGGCCGTCATTAGCGGGCTGCTGAAGCAGGCGGTGACGGGCAATCTGATGGCCGCCTACCGAGCGGGCGAATGTAAGTTCCTATATTATGTCTTTTATGAATCACTTTTTAATGTTTGCTTCTTCTCTTTTGCAGACAACGGCCACCACCTGCCGCTGGTCGACCAGGCGGCCTTTCGCCTCCACGCCGCCGCCTACAGCCTCGAATCGGCGCTCTACCTCACCGCGGGCCACTTTGACTCGCTGAAAACGGACTCAGTGGACGGCCTGCACCTGCAGGCGGCGGCCACGAAGGCGCTGGCCACCGAGCTGGCCGCCCGGTCGGTGGCCACCCTCCGCCACCTGCTCGACCCGCACCGCCAGCTGGAGCCGGTGCTCAGCTCGCAGACGACCAATGTGCTGAACGTCCTCGACGGCTTCCTCGACTCGGCCACCTCTAGTCGGATGCTGCTGGGCACGACGGGGCTGGCTACCGTCGGCCGGTGGAAGTACGACCACATTGCCAAGCTCCGCCTGATGGCCATCTACTTCAACCACCTGATGGCCTTTGTCAGTCTGCGGCGCTTTCGCGAGAGCAAGCTCCACCGCTCGGCGGCGGCGATGGCCGACTGGAAGGCCCTTGGAAAGGGACAGCTGCTGCCGCCGGAGCTAAAAGCCTCCGGGAAGCACCTGCAGGACTCCCTCAAAGAGGTGGCCGAGGCGGCGGACCAGATTCTCACCATCAGCGGCCGTGAGGCGGTGCGCAATCAGATTGACATTGACCGACTGGCCGGCTGTGTCCTCTCCCTCTTTCAGATGGTGGCCGTCCTCTCGAGGACGAGTGATACGATTCAAAGGGAGAAGAAAGAGGGGAAAACTGAGGAGGGTGGATTCTCCCCCAGCGAACTTCGCCTCTGCCAGACGATCTGCAAAGAGGAAGCTCAGAAGGTGGCCGCCCAGTGTCAGCTCATCTTTGGCGTGCTGAGCACCTCGGAGGACAAGCGGGCGCGGTCGCTGCACCGGAAGAACCTCCGCTGGGGCGGGTACTTTCCCAGGCCCACCTTTGATCGAATCATCTAGGTTACTTGCTTGTTTTGTAATAATTAAAAGGTGTGTGTGTGTTTATATGGAAAGGGGAGGGAAAGGTTGAGATTCGAGATTTAAAAGAAGTAAAGCATTGACAATAATTTACTTGAATGAGCTTAATTAAACTCGTCACTATTCAGCGCAAAGGTCACATCGTCGGCGCTGATGAGCAGGCTGACGCGGCGGTACAGGTGCGACGGCGACTTCTGCAGGAGGATCACCTTGCTCTGGTCGAGGTTGGCGGCCACCTTCGCCAGCTCGCTGGTGGTGGCAATCGACCCAGGCGGCTCGCCCTCCAGCCGGCAGATCTCCACGTAGTGCCCGTAGACGTCGATGAAGCGGGCCTCCTCCAGGCCGGTCGCCCTGAAGTCGGCCAGCAGCGCCCGCAGAAAGGTGCGCTCCGCCGCCGAGCCGCCGCTGACGCGAAAGACGTTCACCGAGCTGAAGATCTCCGCCAGAGCCTGGCCGACGTCGGCCAGCGTCACCGTGGTTCGTCGCTGTTTTCCATCTCCGCCGGCACTGATGGTGATCTCCGCACTGCGCCGGGCAATGTCCAGCACGCGGCGGGCGTCTCCGGAGTGGGCGGCCACCTTGCGGCAGATCAGCTGCAGCGCGTCCGGCTCAAAGACGTCCGCCGGGCGGACGTGGTGGCGGCCGGAGAGGTCCTCCAGCCGCGAGGCGACGATCCGCTCCAGCTCCTGGTAGCTGTACGGGGAGAAGACCTTCCGCGTGAAGGCGATCCGCGAGCTGAACTTCAGCAGCAGCCGCTCCGGCAGGTCCATGGTGTTGGCGATGGCGAGCACGACCAGGCGAGAGCCGGCCCGCGTAGGCCAGTCGAAGATGTTGTAGAGGAGGTGCTGCGTTTTGGTGCGCAGAAAGTCGAGCTCGTCGACGAGGAGGACGGTGGTGAAGGGCTTTCCGGTGGTAGTGCCGCTGCTGCTGCCTCGGTTGTTGTTTGAGAAGCGGTCGTTGAGGGCGTTTAGCGCCTGAGAGACGGAGCGCTTTTGGCCGGTGAGTTCCTGAAATAGAGAAAAGAGTTAGGTGGTGATTTAAAAGAAGAGCCAGGAGTCATGTTTACCATGTGCAGCTGCGGGTAGAACTGCTTCGGGTCGCCCAGGCGGACGCCGTTGATCTCCACCCACTTGAAGGCGGGCAGGTGGCGGCGATTCGCCTCCAGCGTCCGCTTCACCTCGTACAGCGTCGTCGTCTTCCCGGTGCCCGGCACGCCGCTGATGTACATGCACCTAAGGGTGAGTAAGGAGTAGATCCAGTGAAATGACGCAATTTCGAAAACCCAAAAGGGAAGCTTACCCGCCCTCGCCGTCGTGCAGCTTCTGCTCCACAAAGGCGTAGATGTCCTCGAACTGCGCCTCCCGACAGGGCAGCGAGTCGGGCACTGAGGAGGAGTGGAAGCGGTCCATCGCCGCCTGAATCGCCTCCTCGGGGCTTAGCCGCCGATGATCGGTGGTGGTGGTCCGCTTTCGAGTGAGCTTCAGTTCTACAATAATAAAAAACGAGTTTGAAAACTGGTTAGTAGGGTGAAATGATAAAGAATCCTCTTGTGGGAAAGGAAATTACGATTTGGTGCATCGTCGACTTGGACTCTGCCTTTTCTGCCTCGGGAAGCAGCTGGTGCTGATGATTGTCTTGTCTTGCTGACAGTTGGAATCTTCTTCTTCTTCTTCTTTGGGCTGGCTTCTTTTTCCACCAGAAAGTCATCGTCAGAGTCGTCAGACTCTTCTTCTTCCTCCTCCTCTTCTTCACTTTCGAAGTAGTCATCGTCAGTCTTCAAGACGATTCTACGTCGACGACGAGAAGCGGTGGTGGTGGCTGGCGGCGGCTGCTTCTTCGTCTTTGTCTCTGTTTGCGCCTTTTTGAGGGCAGTTTTTCTCTGAAAAGAAACCAAGGAAGAGAAGGTAAACATTGAAGCACATGGTCAGGTTTCTTAAGCAAGATTATTACCGGCGTTTTAGCGGAGACGCCAGTCAGATCAATCGACTGCGCCAATGACTTGCTTCGCGTTCTTCGGCTGCTGCTGCTGTTGTTGACGGTGGAGTTGGTGGTGATTGGGGTGACCGAAAAGCCATTTGGGCCTCCGCCGGCCACCTTGGAAAGACTTCGAAGCGCCTTTGCCGGAGTTTTCTGCTGCTGCTGCTGCGGCTCGGTGGACTCAGCGGCCAGACGAGGAGGCGACCTTCGGACGCGAGTTGATCGCCTGACGCTTCCACCCTCCATTGCCCCAAAGCTCTGAAGAGGAAAAAGAAGGAAGATAAAAGCAGGGTAAAAGCAGAAAAAAGTTTATTCTTTTGCCGGGTGCCAAATCTAACGAGCTTTGCCGCAAAACAAAACATGTGTTGACATGGAGAGACAGCTGCTCAAAAGGACAAGTGTTAAAAATTTAAAAGTTAAACCGTAACTTTTTTCAAGCTGATTTTACAAGTTACACATGATGATGATCGTGTACGAAAGAAAAAGTTTTTATTGGAAAAAATAAAAAAGTGTTTTTACATTATAAGGTGTATAAATAATCAAAAAATTGCAAAAAAAGGAAAAACAGAATAAAGAAATAAAAGCACATATAAATACTAAGCAGAAGAGAAGGAAGGAAGGAAGAAAGGAAATGATGAAGGAGTGTAGCGGTGACAGTGTGAAACAGAGGGGGAGCAAAAAAGGAGAAACAGAAGAAGAATCTACGAATGATTTGGCGCCATTGGGGGATGATAACAGAACTTAGAAGGGCACTGGCTGTTGTTGTTGTTGTTGTTGTTGTTGTTGTTGTTGGCTACCCTAGTTGACTGGAGGTTGCTGCTGCTGCTGCTGCTGCTGCTGCTGATTGCCCTCATTTTCACTGTTCGAGTCTGTGGTGGTGGTGACAAGAGACAGAGAGACCGAGCGCAAATTAGTAGTGGTGGCAGAAGGAGGAAGGTGAAAAAGAAGAGGCTGTTTTCTTTCAAGACCTCTTCATCTCAATCTCTGATCCACTCTCTCTCTCTCTCTCTCACTCACCTCCCTTCTTGCCCATGTACTGGTGCTTGCGCAGCCGATCGTAGAGGTCCTCCTTGTTGGTGGTGCTGTAGATGGAGGGGTTGGCGATGCCCTGCAGCGTCCCATTGTTGGACTTGCTGTTGTGCAGACTCTCCTTCATGTACGTCTCATTGTAGAAGTTGGGCATCTCCCAGCCGTCGTCCTCGTCGTCGTAGTAGTGCGCGTAGGTGCTGTGGTGCGACGGGGCGATGCTCTCCGCATAGGGGGCCGGTGCGCCGTAGTAGAAGTTGGCCGCCGAGCCCGGTCCGCCGGGGCCCAGTGGACCGCCGACGCCGTTGCCGTTGGGCCCGCCGCCCCCTCCCGGGCCAAAGTCCGTGGGAATGGTGTGCATGGACATCTTCTTGGTGAGTCCTCCCGGCCCGCGGGTGGCCGTCCGCACGCAGATCATCCAGATGAGGAGGACGATGAAGATGATGAAGAAGACGGCGGCGCCGATGCCGCCGGCAATGTAAATCAGCTCCGACTTGCGCTCGCACCGGTCGCCGTAGAAGTTGATCAGACACTCGCAACGGGGCTTCTTCATGCCTACGCAATCAGAAGAGGGTAAAGTGGTTAGATTTTAAAGTTCAATTTCAATTTCTAAAAGACAGAATCACTTACCCGACTGCCAGTGACACTTGCCGCCGTTGATGCAGTAATCATCGCAGATGTCAATGCACACCGGCGAGGCTGGCACTGAGGAGGAGGCGGAGGACATGTCCGAATGGCTGCTGACAATGGAGTTGCTGGACTCATCAAAGGAGCCATAGGCGGCCTCCTTGAAGCCCTCCTTGCAGACGCAGCGGAAGTCCTCCGAGCCGACGGCGGGCGCCTCGCACTGCGAGTTGACCGGACACAGCTGCATGCGGTCCTTGATCAGGCAGGGATTGCTGCACTGCTCCACCGAGGAGCTGCCCAGGCCGCTGGTGGTGGAGTTCGGCGGGCAGGACTGACAGCTCGGGTCGCGCTGTTCCACGTCCTGGAAGGTGCCCTTCGGACAGGCGGTGCACTCGCCGGTGGACCGGTTCAGGTAGTGGCCCACGGTGCAGATTTCTATAAAGAGGAAGGGGTTAAATTGGTGGTTTTCTATTTTCATCAAAACTTTAACTTACCCAGACTACACATGCCAATGTTGACGGCGGCAGTGTCGCCGGTGGTGAAGCCCGGCGGACAGGCCTCACAGGAGGGCTGGCCTCGGGTGCGGTAGAAGCCGACCGGGCAGGCCTCGCAGTTTCCGGTCGAGGAAAGTTGGTAGCCGGCGTTGCACTCCGCTAAAATCAAAGTACAAATCAAGGTTAGCTCTTTTTCTAAAATATAAAGACTTAAACAAATGAAAGTTCACTTACGTCTGCACTCCTTCGCCGAGACCGCCTCGGCGCTTCGCGTCGTCAGCCCGGTGGCGCAGGCCACACAGCTGAAGGCGCCCTCCGCCGGCTGGTAGAAGCCGTAGCCGCAGGCCTTGCATCCGCCACCACCACTTCCGCCACCACCACTGGCCAGGTCGTAGTACCGTCCCCGGGGACACCGCTCCCGACACTCGGCCACGTGGCGGGCGCCACGGGACACGGTGACGCCCTGGCGGTCGCCAATCACCGGACAGGCCTTGCACTGCAGCTGCCCCAGGCCGTCCTGGTAGCTGCCCACCTCGCACTTCACGCACCGCCCACCGGCGCCGTTCACCCCCGCCGAGCTGTCAAAGTACGTGCCCTGGCCGCACTCGACGCAGGCATTGCCGATCACCACCTGGCCCGGCGGACAGGCGTACTCGGTGACCAGCGTCAGACTGGTCAGGTCGGGCACCACATTGGGCAGCGTGTCGCGGACGTCGAAGATGGCCGACTCCACTACCGCCCGGCGGATGATCGCCTCCAGGCTGTCCTTGTCCTGGCCACCACCACCACCGCCGTTGCCATTGTTTCCGTTGTTGTTGTTGTTTGATGAAGAGGATCCAGAGGAGGATGAAGAGGATGATGAACCAGAGGTGGCCGCCACGATGGGATCATTATTGGCGGGGAAGCTCACCTCGAGGCTGTACACCTCGGGCTGGTGCTCCTCGCCCCCTTGGTCGATTCCTCCTGAAGAGCCGCCGCCGCCTTCTGCCGCTCTTGTGACTCGGTTGTTTAGTGAGTGTCCACCGCTGATTTGAGCAGGAGTTTGACCACCATTTCCGCCACCCTTGATGCACTTCACCGAGATGGAGAGGCCCTTGCAGTTGCCCCGCGGCGAGTCGGCGCAAATCTTCCACGCCCGGTCCACCCGATTGATGCTCTCCACCGCCCGCCCGGTCAGAATCTTCTTGCCCGACTCGGAGCAGACGCCCACCGAGCTGGCCGTCGGAAAGTTCATCACCAGGCGGAAGATGCGCTGCGCCGAATGGCGCGGCGAGCAGGCGGGAAAGACGAGCGGCGAGGCGTCCGGTGCACCACTCGGCGTACTTAGATCATTGTCCAGCGCCGTCGGCCGCCAAAAGCCCTCCGCTCCGCAGACGTAAAACTTCGGCACCGGCTCACTAAAGTGCAGCCCCGGGTGATTGCACTTGATGGTACAGGTCTTGAAGCGGCCACCCGGGCCCCAGTCTGAGCACTCGCGACTTCCATTCACCGGGGGCTCCGGCAGCGGGCAAAACTCCCGCATGACGTGCACCTGAAAGTCGCAGCGGGCCGTATTGCCGCCCGCATCCGTCGCCAGGTAACTGAGGTCGTAGACGCCCTTCTTCAGCGAGTCGCCCGACTTGATGCGCTCCACCTCGACGACGTCCAGCGAGCGGAGGTCATCCACAAAGGCCGGCTCGTCCCAGTGGACGATGGTGCTGGTATTCGCCGAGATGACCCACATGTCCGGCGGGCAGTGCAGCACCTCCGGCGGCGTCTTGTCCTGCTCCAGCGTCCGGCAGTCCTCGCCGCTGTAGCCGTTCGGGCAGACGTGCTCGCCACAGCGGCCCGGGCCCACTCGCTCCACCGTGCCCAGCACCGAGTCGTAGCCCGTCCAGCGGAGCAGCAGGCCACTGTAGATGACCGGGGCGTTTTTGCAGCTGCGAATCTGCGAGGGAATCTCCACGGCCATGTCCAGCGGCCGGTTCCACAGGTTGACGCGACTGAGGCGGCCGTGGAAGCCTTCGCCCAGTCGGGGGAGTTCGTCTTCGAAGGGGGCTCCCAGGGCGACCCAGCCGTAGGCGGGAAGTCGCCCCCCGGTTCCGTAGTCGGCGACGGTGCTAGCGACCGCCGTGTCAGTGACCAGCATCAGACTGCCGCCCTCCGCGCCGTTCCAGATGATGTTAATGTAGTGCCACTGGCCGTCGTTGATGGGCACATTCTCCAGGTAGGGCAGGAAGACGTCAGAGGAGAGCTTTCCACCTCCGTTTCCATTTCCACCGCCGCTTCCGCCATCCTTGAAGAGGGACACCAGGACGCCCTCGTGGTTCGCTTGAAGCAGCGGTCGCTTGAGCTTGCTCACCACGTACGGAGAGTCCACCTCGTAGAGCGTAAAGTAGGCGCCCTTCAGCTCCGCCACCTGGTACTGCACCCACAGGCCGATGGTCATCGCGCCGGCCTGCTCCAGCGCAAACGGAGTCGTCAGCGCGGCGTTGGACGCCCTCGAGCGGTCGTTGAAGTACAGGTCATAGTCGATGTTGATCGGCTTGCGGCAGTCCTCGCCGGTCATGTTGAAGGGGCAGCGGCAGTGGAAACCATTGGTCAGGTCGATGCAGGTCGCAGACGGCGGGCAGCTGGTCGGCTGACAGTCGACAATGTCCTCCTCGCAGTTGGGGCCGGTGAAACCCGCCGCACAGAGGCACTGATATCCGCCATCGGGCTTGTCCACGCAGGTGGCCCCATTCTGACAGCGGTCCCCGGCGGAGCAGGCCCTGAACTCGTACTGGCAGCCGATGCCGCCGTACTTGGCCGGGCAGCTGCAGTTCAGACCGGAGCCGTAGTCCTGGCACTGCCCGTCATTCTGACAGGGATTGCCGATGCACCGCTGCGGCGCCGTCTGACAGCGCTTCCCGTCCGTGCCGCTGGGGCAGACGCAGAAGTAGTCCTGAAAGAGGTCGACGCACTTGGCCGCATTGTGGCAGGGGCTGCTGTCGCACATGCCGACGTCCTTCTCGCAGCGGAGGCCGCTCCAGCCGAGTGGACAGAGGCAGCGGTAGCCGTTGATCTGGTCGGTGCAGGTGCCCCCATTCAGGCAGGGGCTGCTGGCGCAGTCGTCGACGTTCGTCTCGCAGAACTCGCCCGCAAAGCCGTCGTGGCAGGCGCAGCGGAAGGCGTTGTCCAGGTCGACGCACCGCTCCGTGCCCAGCGGGGAACAGGGATTGGAGACGCACTCGTCCACTTCCGCCTCACACTGCAGACCGACGTAGCCGGGCTTGCACTGGCAGGCAAAGCCGACCGCCTGGTCGAGGCAGGTGCCGCCATTCTGACAGGGCGCCCCCTCGCAGGCGTCAATCTCGTGCTGGCAGCGGCTGCCGGTGAAGGAGTCGGCGTCGCAGACGCACCGGAAGCCATCCACCAGGTCGACGCACTCGGCGCCGTTTTCGCAGGGGGAGCTGGCGCAGTCGTCGATGTTCTCCTCGCAGCGGGCGCCCGTCCAACCGGGCTGGCAGATGCACTCGTGGAAGAAGAGCCGGTCCACGCAGAGGCCGTGAGGGCCGCAGGGACTGGACTGGACGTTGTTTCCGGAGCTTCCGGTGCTGCTTCCAGGGCTGCTGCACAGGTCAATCTTCTCCTCGCAGCGCTTCCCGGTGAAACCGGGCGGACAGTCGCACTTGAAGTCGGCCACCAGGTCGGTGCACTTCGCCCCCAGCAGACAGGGCTCATCGGCGCAGTCGTCAATGTTCACCGAGCAGTGGGTTCCAGTCCAGCCCGGCTGACACTGGCAGTGGTAGCGACCTTGGAGGAGCGGCACGCAGACGGCCTCGTTTTCACAGGGGTTCGCCCCCTCCGAAGAGGACGAACACGGGTTGATGGTGACATTGCAGTTGTGGCCCTCGTAGCCTGATCGACAGAGGCAGTTCACCTGGCCGATGCCGGGCAGATTTTGGCACATTGACTTCTCCGGGCAGACTTCTTCCAGCTGTGCTTTTCCGTTTGAGGAGACGAGGTTGCACTCGTCCCGCTCAATCTCGCACTGCAGGCCGCTGAAGCCGGCCGGGCAGCGACAGCTGTAGCCCTGCGGGTGGTCCACGCAGGTGGCGCCGTTGAAGCAGGGGGCGGAGGCGCACTCGTCGACGTCCACCTCGCAGAGGCGGCCGGTGAAGCCGGCCGGACAGTAGCAGTACGGTTCGTGGCGGGTCACCACGCAGACGCCCCCGTTTTCGCACTTTGCCGAGCAGTCGCTCTTGACGCAGGCCTCCCGGCTGAGGGCCCCTGGGCGGAGGGTCCTCTCCAGGCCGGAGCACTCGTGGCAGGTGGTCTGGCCCTCCCGTTCCTGGAAAAGGTTCGTCGGGCAGGGGGCACAGGGCTCCAGACCGGTCTCCGAGTAGGTGCCCGGCGGACAGCGGATCTTGCACTGCGCAATGGACACCGAGCCCGGGGCGTAGGTGAAGGTGGCGCCCAGGCAGGCGGCGCACTCCTTGAAGCCCTCCTTCGGCGGGGCGCCCGAGTAGGTGTTCAGCGGGCACTGCAGACAGGGCACCATGCCGGTGGGGGAGTAGGTGCCGTAGCCGCAGACGGGAATGCACTCGCCGACGCCCTTGCTGCCCTCCGACTTGGTGAAGGTTCCCTCGGGGCACTGGCGACAGACCGGTGCCCGCCCCGTGTCCTGGTACCAGCCCAGGGGACAGGGGAGACAGCGGCGCATGTCTTCGGAGGCGTAGGTGCCGGCGGCGCACTGCAGACACCGGGGAATCTTCTTCTCAAACTCGGTGGCGTTCAGGGCGTTCAGCACCTCGCCGGGGCGGCAGGTGAAGCCGCGTTCCACCGAGGAGCGCAGGGCCTAATCGTAGAATCGAAAAAAAGTTAAATTTTTAAAATTCCCAAAAAACTTTCCAATTTCCACTTACATTCAAACTGGGACAGCTGCTCACTTGCTGCGTGTCAATATTGAGCAGCGATTCGATGATGTGCGAGGAGCTCGGCACGCTCAGGTCAAAGGCAATGCCCAGCGTCATGCCGCAGTGCTCGTAAAAGGAGCGCTGCCGGGCGCTGGTATCAATCCGCAGCACGTAGGTAATCGACAGCTCATTCGTGTCGGCCTTCATCGCCACGCTGCTGTTGGCAAAGTGGACGTCAATTTTGGTGCCGGTGGCCGCCTCACACCGCTTCGAGAGCAGCTCATTCAGCTGGCGGAAGAAGCTGGCCACGTAGCTTTGGTAGGCGGCGATGCAGGAGGCGGGCGCAAAGCCGCCGCTGCGGTAGTGAATCGTCGCCTGGACGTCGTAGTTGGAGTCGTCCTCCGGGCTGACCGGCTCCGGGACGCAGTCAGGGATGACGTTGGCAGGGGACCAGTGGACGCTGACGCTGCCGGTGCCCGAGGCGGTGCACTCGTAGATCTTCACCGAGTCGCCGTCCACGAAGCGGTATCCTAAAACGGAAAAGTTACGTTAGAAAAATTCTTAAAACCTAAGTTAAAAGATATCCAACTCACCGGTATTACACTTGGACGCACAGCGGTACCCATTCGCCAGCTCGTTCTGCCGACAGGCGACCTCCCCATTTGCCGGCCGAACCAGCGACCACGGCACACAGGCCATCGGCTGCACCGATACCTGAAAGTGGCAGCTCGCTTCATTACCGAAACGGTCCACCGCCAGGACGGTCACATTGCGGTAGCCCTTCATGGGAATGGAGGCCGCCGGCGGGTCAAAGGTGATCCTCACTTCGCCCGATTCATCGGTGGCGTTGATCAGCCGCCGCGTCTCATTGGCAAAGGCAATCTCGTAGACGTCCCGCTGCTCAATCAGCTCAATGACGTACGACTGCGGGCAGCTGAGGGCGGGGGGAGTGGTCTCCGGTACGGTGATGTTCACCCGACAGACGGCCACATTGCCGTCCGAGTCGTAGGCGGTGTACTCCACCGAGGTGTCGTTGAAGATGGTGACCGGCGGGCGGAAGCCGAGGGGGCTCACCTCGAAGCGGGCAATGTAGCCGCTGTTGTCAGTGGCCGTCGGGACGGTGAAGTTCACCGGAAGAATGCCCAGCGTGGGACTCTTGCTGACGATGATCGGAGTGGTGGGGCAGTTAGCGAAGCGGGGCGGCTCCCGGTCGACACAGGCCGGCGCGGCGCCGTTGAAGCCGAGCAGCACCGGCTCGTCCTTCTTACCGGGCTCTTCGCAGCCGAGCAGCTCAAACTTCAGGCAGGCATTCGTCTGGTAGGAGGTGATGCCGAGGATGACGTACCGAGCGACAATAGTAGAGGGAAGGGTCAACGCTGTGAGCTCCCCATAGTTCCCTGCCTCCTCCCGGTAGGTGAGGTTAAAGTTGGGAAAGTACACGACAAAGTTGTCCGTCTCCGCTCGTTTGTAGAAGAAGCGCAGCTCAGTGGGGCGGCCCACAATGTCCGGCGTGATGACGCCCTTCACCAGCAGCGTTCGAATTCGATGGACCCGACCTAGGTCGACCTGGAGATAGGGGAAGGCCTCCTTCTTCTTGGGGTCGGCGCACCAGCCGGTGGCCGAGTGCAGCCGAACCTTCCTCGGCTCGTAGTTGATTCGGTAGCTGCTGGCGTTGATCGAATGGTCGTGAATCGCCCCCGAGGTGATGCCCAGCGGCCGGATCACCCTGCAGTCCGCCTCCTTGACGCAGGTAATTGGCTCAGAGGTAAGGGGGACATAGCCGGGTCGGTTGCAGGCAAAGCGCACCTGAGAGCCGTGCTCGTAGCTGGTCGCCAGCTGGGTGCCATCCGCCGGGTGGCCCGGGTCGACGCAGACGGGGCCCTCGCAGCGGAGGTCCCCAAAGTCCCAGTGGCCCTTGGCGGAGCAGCGGACGGTGCTGTCGGAGCGACTGGTCTTGCCGCCGATGGTGAAGGTCTCGTCGCAGCCAAAGTAAAAGTTGGATCTGGAAATGAAGGGGAAAAAAATGTTGTTGTTAGTTTCCGTTTCCGAGGCCTTTGGTAAAGGCGGTAATGGATGTTGGTGGTGGCACTTCTTCTTACTTGTACTGCGTGTCCACGAAGAAACCGTACGTCGACCCGGTGGTGTCCATCGGCTTGCCGCAGTCCACCTTCGGACAGGACGGGGGCGCACCGCTGAACCAAAACTCCGGCCGTCCCTCTCGCGGATCGTAGACGCACTGTCGGCGGGTGGAAAGTGCCGTCCCGGCATTAGGTCGGCCCACCTCACTGCAGCTCACATTCGCCCGACTGAGGTAGGGGACCAGCTTGGCGGGAGAGTTTCCATTTCCATTTCCGTTTCCTTCACCACTGTTCAGCTGCTCGTACTCCAACTTCAGCCCCTGCGATGGGTCGTCTGAAAGGGCCAAACACTGCGCATAGTGACACTCCGGGGCGGTGCCGTTCCAGGCGCCATTCGGGCCGCAGGCCAGCGCCCTCGACCCGCCGGTCATCACGTAACCGAAATCGCAGCTAAAGGTCACCACATCGCCGTAATGATGCCTCGCCGCCGTGTTCAGCAGCTGGCCATTCTCGGGGGCGGCCAGCGGGGGACACTGCCGGGGGACGCAGGTCTTATTCAGCCGGTAGGTGTCCCCATCGCGGGTGCCCGTTTCCGAGGGAGGTATGGTGAAGCCTGCTGTTCCGTTTGCGGTATAAAGTTCATAGCCGACATTGCAGTGGCAGCTAGCGGACCCAGGTGAGTTGACGCACCGCTGGTCGCAGCCCCCGTTCCGCTCCAGGCACTCATTCACGTCCAGGCAGTCCTGCCGACTGCAGCCCATCAGCTCGAAGCGCATACAGGGGGCGACGGCAAACTCCATGATGACGATGCGAATGTACCGCGCCTCCAGGGGAATGGGCAGGTTGACGATGGAGAGGCCCGAGCCGCCGTTGGGCGCCAGGCGGAACTGCACCGGCCGCCCGCCAATGTCCGAGTAGTCGCGGAAGAGGTCGGTCAGGTCGTCGGCGTACTGCAGGCGGACGGTCATCGGGTAGGCCTGGGAGTGCCCACCTTCAATGGAGGTGGTCGTCAATGGACGCAGGCGCTGCACCGACTGAATGCGGAAGCCGCGGATCACTACAGCGGCGCGCAGGTCCACCTGCACCCAGTTCTCGCCCAGGCGCTGCGAGGCGCCGCACCAGCCGTTTCCGCCGCTTCCGCCGGAACCGGAAGTTGAACTTCGAGAAGAGGTGTCCAGGCGAATGTCCGCCTTGGAGTAGCCCGCCTCAGTGCCGGAGACGCGAATGGAGACGTCGGGAATGGCGCCCGTGCTCAGGCCTAGATCGGAGACTGGGCGGCAGTTGAGATTGGGCTCAAAGCCGGGCTTGCACTTGCAGAAGAAGCCGCCGTCGGTGTTGGTGCAGCGGGTGCTGGCCATGTCGCAGGTAGTTCCGCCGCCTCCTCCACTTGAAGACTGATGACCCTGGGAGGAGGGTGAACACTCGTCAATGTCCACGCAGGAGGGCACATTGGCAAAGGACTGATTTCCGGCGCAGCGAATGATCGAGTGGCCCTCCAGGCGGTAGCCTCGGTTGCAGAAGACGCGCAGCTCGTCGCCAAATTTGACGTCCAAATCGTTAGTACTGGATGCGGGAATGTACCCGTTTCGAATTTCCGGCAGCGTCGGACAGCGAGCCCGCTCACAGATCGGCGGCTGGCCGCTCCACTGACCTACACTGGTGCAGACAATGACGGGAACGCCCCGTCGGTGGTAGCCCGACTCGCACTCAAAGCGGACTATCGTTCCGTAGGAGCGATTCCGCGAGCCGGCCATTATCGTCTGAATGGCATGGGGCGTCTCCGGCAGGGGTGGACAGCTGGAGGCAAGGCAGATGGGCAGCTTCTCCCAGCGGCCGTCCTCGCCGCAGCGAATCGACTCGGTGCGGTAGTTGGAGGGGAAGGCAAATCCTAAAAAATAAAAAAAAATATTAGAAACCTAGAAACAAACATTCAATAAAAAGCACATCTACCTGCATAGCACTGATAGGTGGCCACCCCCCGATAGGTGACATTAGTGGCGCCCACCGCAAAGCCATTGTCAATCTGCGGCACCGGCCCGCAGTACCGCTCCTGGCAGTTGGGCACCGCCTCCAGCGACCACCTGCCGCCCATCTGACAGGCCGTTTCCAGCCGCACCGCCCCCGTGCTAAACTCCTGCCCCAGCGGACAGGTGAACACCACCCGACTGCCGTACATTGAGCCGCGGGCGGAGGCGATGGCATTGCGGCCAATCTTCAGCGGCGGGCAGTCGGCGCTAAAGTTGGCCGACCAGCCGCGGGCCGCCTTGAGGGCGTTCGTCCTGAAGAGCAGCGTCATTCGCCCGGAGGAGGCGGTCAACGTCAGCCCCGTGGGCTTGGTCTTCACGCCAAAGCCGCGACTGGGGTGCAGGGGAATTCCGCCCGAATTTAGTCCATCCAGTCCATTGCCGCCATCGTAGATCTGCAGAATGTCCTCCAGGGTGACGTCAAACTCGTTGAAGACGATGGACAGTGAGCCCCCACCTCCTCCGTGGTTTCCACTGTTTGAGGTACCGACTTCATGTGCTGCACTCTCTCGACTGATGCGGTAAACGCAGTTCTGGCTGGTGGGGTAGTTGGCGACNCCCACCCCCACCTCCTCCGTGGTTTCCACTGTTTGAGGTACCTGTTTCATGTGCCGCACTCTCTCGACTGATGCGGTAAACGCAGTTCTGGCTGGTGGGGTAGTTGGCGACGCCAAAGGCCGCGGAGGTGACCACCCCCTGATCGGCCACCAGCTCCACCTCGCAGCCGGCCTTGTAGCGGGCATGGAAGCCCTTCCGCGAGTGGACGCCAAAGTTGGAGNAGTGGACGCCAAAGTTGGAGTGAAAGTAGACGTAGAGGCTGCTTCCAGTCGAGATGATGTACCGCTCGTGGGAGGGGCGCAGCGTGGCGGTGAGGTTTCCGGTGAAGCGGGCCAGCGGGGCGGACTGAGAGTTGGGCCCATCTCGGATGAGGAGGTAGTCGCCCTTCTCCGGGTCAACGTCCAGCTCGGTCAGCTCCAGCGTCACCGTCTTCCCCTGCGGTGCGGTNTGGCGACGCCAAAGGCGGCCGAGGTGACCACCCCCTGATCGGCCACCAGCTCCACCTCGCAGCCGGCCTTGTAGCGGGCATGGAAGCCCTTCCGCGAGTGGACGCCAAAGTTGGAGTGAAAATAGACGTAGAGGCTGCTTCCGGTGCTGATGATGTACCGCTCGTGGGAGGGGCGCAGCGTGGCGGTGAGGTTTCCGGTGAAGCGGGCCAGCGGAGCGGACTGAGAGTTGGGCCCATCTCTGATGAGGAGGTAGTCGCCCTTCTCCGGGTCGACGTCCAGCTCGGTCAGCTCCAGCGTCACCGTCTTCCCCTGCGGTGCGGTGATCACGTAGACGCACTCCAGGCCGCCCGGGTAGGAAGACGGGTAATGGGGCGAGCTGATCGTCTGAACTCCCGAACTTCCCCCTCCTCCTCCTCCTTGATGATGGCTGCTGCTGGGCATGGCGAAAAACTCCCCACCACACTTAAGTGGTTCCGTCTTCCAGGAGGCCCGAAAGCCCCGCTTCTCAACGGCCGCATCCGAGCGGAACTTGACAATCATCAGATTGCTGGCCGTCTTGAAGGGCGGCATCGAGATTTCGCCCCCACTTCGAGCTGACGTTATATTCTGGTGACCGGAAAGGGTGGCCAGCGTCGTGCTGGTCTCCTCCGTCCGCCCACCGACCAGAATCGACACCTGGTCAAAGTTGACCTCGGTGTCGAACTCGCTAAACTGGAGGACCATGCCGCTGCCGACCGGGCCCTCCAGCGTCCACTTGCAGTCCGCATTCGGCTCGTACTTGTTCGGGTAATTGGGGCTGACCACCTTGTCGCCGCTGCTCTGCAGGTAGTAGGTGCACTTCCGCGGACAATCGGCCTCGTCGGAGTTGTCCTCGCAGTCATCGCTGCCATCGCAGCGGAAGCTGCCGGCGACGCACTTGCCGTTGCTGCAGTGGAAGGCCCCCGCCGGGCAGGTCTGTCGCTGGCAGACAAAGGGGAGGAGGTCTTCGCATTCGGCCAGAGACCACTCGCTGCCTCTCGAGCCACCTCCGCCTCCTTCAATGACCTTCGCGCGGACGCACTGGCCGGCGGCCACATTAGGTTCATCGTAGGCCCAAAAGCCGACGTACTTGGAGACGAAGCGGCCGCTCGCCGACTCGATGGTGTTCGTGCTCAGCTGGTCAATCGACTGAAAGCCGATCCAGAAGGCGCGCTGGTTGCCGGCAGCCGAGGTGGAAGCCGATGATGAAGCTAAAGATGAGGAAGACAAAGAGGAAGCAGAGGATCCCAAGGAAGAGGATCCCGACAGTTGGTCGTCGCCTGACTCGCGCAGACTGGCCTCCGCCAGCGAGGCGGTAAAGTTGTTCTGCGTGTAGTCGCTGATCAGGACCAGTTCGCTGCCGTATCTGTTGTTTGGAAAGGGATGAAAAAGGGGGATGTAAAGGGGATTAGTAAAAGGACACACTACAAGGACACACTTTCACATCAGAAACACATCAGTTAAAAATCAAACAGGATTCGACACTTAAAAAATCAACCCTTCTTTTATCGCCTCGCTCTAGATCTAAGAAAACGCTTTTTCCGTTTCTGAGAGAATCTGTGTCGACCAACGAGCAGACAACAACAAACATAATAATAACGGTAATCACAACTTCACGACAACTTCTTCAACGGAGAAAGAGAGGAGTAGGTAAGCAAATAAAAGCATATAATAACACACAGACGGACTATAAAAATAGCAGCCTTTCTCTCTCCCTCACTTTATTCAACTGCAGCTAATCCCGCTAATTAAAAAGAAGAAGAAGAAGAAGACGGGTAATTAAATGGCAAAGAGGTGCTCCTCAGCGTGAGTGTTTACTTTCCCGGCGTCCCGGGCGCTTCCTTCCATCGCGTGAGAGCATGAGAAGATGGAAAAGATGAAAATATGAGCCGACTGCTTCTAGAAGTGCGAATTGACTGCTATTTCCAGCCGCCGCTGCTGCTGCTGCTGCTTCCTTGCTGTCTACCTCCGACGCCGACGCCGACGCCGACGCTGATCACCATTATTAATTAGTCACAGTGGATAATGAAGAAGAAGAAAGCTCAAGCTAGGTCACTCGGCCAGGAGGATGAGCACTGTTATTATTTCATTAGAAGGAGTACTGCTGCTAATCAGCAGCAAGCAAACAAATAATGGCAGCAAAATCCGTGTCGATAGCCACACCTCCTCCTCGTCGTCCTCGAGAATCAATCTCCTCCAAAGTTGACATTGCAGTACGTCTTTAGTGCGTAGAAAGACAACAACTCAATCCGAGACAGAAAAAAGATTACTGGGCAGAAAAAAAATAAAGAGCTTTTTGGATAGAGGACAAAAGCAGCAGCAGCAGCAGCCAAATCTCTCTTTTCGCTTTATTCGAGATTCCATTCGCGACTGGGAAGATAAATGGAAAAAAAAGCGGCAACGAAGTCTCTAAACGATTGTCTCAGACTACTAGAAGAGAGCACTTGCACCAAAGAGAGCAGAGGCATAAATTAGCCTTAGCTTGGCCAAGTGTCTGCCGTCTATGACTGTCTGCTGCCACAAAGTGAAACACACACATACAGAGACAAACACACATTTGGGCCAGTCCGTCTCAATGTAAATCACCATCGCANTACTGGGCAGAAAAAAAATAAAGAGCTTTTTGGATAGAGGACAAAAGCAGCAGCAGCAGCCAAATCTCCCTTTTCGCTTCATTCGAGATTCCTTTCGCGACTGGGAAGATAAATGGAAAAAGCGGCAACGACGTCTCTAAACGATTGTCTCAGACTACTACTAGAAGAGAGCACTTGCACCAAAGAGAGAGAGCAGAGGCATAAATTAGCCTTAGCTTGGCCAAGTGTCTGCCGTCTATGACTGTCTGCTGCCACAAAGTGAAACACACACACATACAGACAAACACACATTTGGGCCAGTCCGTCTCAATGTAAATCACCATCGCAAAGTGAGAGGCTAGCTAGCCTCGCACTACTACTGTCAATGACTGGCCGCTTCTTTTTTGTTCTTTTCCACACTGCAACTGCCACTTCTTCGTCTTCTTCTTATTCGCAACTGTGAATTGCAAGAGTAAAGTGGTGGTGGTGGTGGCCTTACAGCAAAAAACTATTCGCAGTGGCCTCTCACCACCACACTCTCACTCACTCTCAGTCAATTTCAGCGTCCGAAGCGTTTCGATATACTTTTTTTTCTCCACAGAGAGGGGAAAAAAGGAGAAGAAATTCCAGCTTCGGCGCAATCGGAGCATAGAAACACACACTTTGGCAATCATAATCATAATTGCACACCTTCACTGCTGAATCTGCTGTCTCTATTTGCCTTAGCTCAATCAGGACACACAGTGTGTCAGTGTCAGCAGTGCTGACAATTAGCTGGTCTCAGTATCGGTCGGTCAGCAGCAGCAGAAATTGGCATGGTCTTCATTTGCAGTTCATATCAGCAGCAACAGCAGTCAAAGTCAAACTGGCAGTTATTCAGTCTATCTATCTGACTGACTGAATNTCATAATCATAATTGCACACCTTCACTGCTGAATCTGCTGTCTCTATTTGCCTTAGCTCAATCAGGACACACACAGTGTGTCAGTGTCAGCAGTGCTGACAATTAGCTGGTCTCAGTATCGGTCGGTCAGCAGCAGCAGAAATTGGCATGGTCTTCATTTGCAGTTCATATCAGCAGCAACAGCAGTCAAAGTCAAACTGGCAGTTATTCAGTCTATCTATCTGACTGACTGAATGACTGACCACACCTAAAAAGTAGTGCTGCTGCTGCTGTTGCCATTTGCATCCACGCGCCTAGGCGCCCACAGCTGACTGAATAGTTAGCTACTACTTCAACTCAACTCGGACAAACAAAGAAAATCGTCCACTTGGTTTTCTTTGTCATGCCAGGCAGTCTAACAGCGTTCGTAAGCAGCGGCAAACGCTTTAAAACGACTAATTACTCTCAGCTGCCCATATTTTGCACGCGTCCGCCGCCGCCGCTGCTGCCGTTTATATGCAGATATTGATTCGACGACGACGACGACGACGACGGC